CTCTCTCTCTCTCTCTCTCTCTCTCTCTCTCTCTCTCTCTCTCCCTCATCTGTGCACGTGTCGACAAACCATCGTTTGAAAAAAAAACAATCGCATGTGCAAGCTGTCAAAGTCAAGACTATAAATTAGATTGTCTCACAAACTCCATTAGTCTGCTATGGATGCCCAACTATAGACCAAAAATATCTAATAGATGTCAAAGCATAGACAAAGTTGTCCTTACAAACGTTCACATGCACAGCCGGTACCCTGTAAAAACCGCCCCTTGGTAGTTATTTACTCACCTTCCGGAATATCAGTCTTCTTCGTGCTGGCCAATGCTTTGACGACCCCTTGTGCGTTCTTTCTGATGCCGAACTTGGGAGCTATAAGCAGACGGGCAGGAGGCGGTGCTTCCGAACCTGCGGTGTCATGCTCGGCAGGATTGACCTTTGCTGATTCTGTTGAAGTGACATCTGCGGCCGAAGGATCTATGTCTGGGTACTCGGACTGCTCCACGCATGGTTTTGTATTTTCCCGAGTATGGAACAAACATGGCGGCTTGCTGCGCCTCATATCTGCATTTGAAAGGAAAGTGACAAGTTGACAACATCAAAAAAGTTTTTTCTTCTTCTTCTTCTCTCTCTCTCCTCAGTCTCCTTTCCTTTTTTCTTTTTGGAAAGAACAAACGTCAAACTGGGTCCAGCGTCCCTTACAATATAAACCCACACACGATCCCCTTCGTTATGGCCAAGGGACACTCAGATGGCGGCATTGAATTGCTTTCTTTGCGGGAAGAAGTATCCGCATTAGCAGGTGCCATTCCATGAGGCATAACAGGGGAGGGAGGGCCCATCGTGTTTGGCTGTATCTGTGAAGTGTGTGTGTGTGTGTGTGTGTGTGTGTGTGTGTGTGTGTGTGTGTGTGTGTGTGTGTGTGTGTGTGTGTGTGTGTGTGCGTGTGCGTGTGTTGTTTTAAAGGACCCCAGATTCTCTCTCTCATTCCTTTCACAGATCATCACAGGCCGTCGAAACGAAAAAAGTATAGATAGGCAATATAATAGAAAATGCAAGGTTGGCCAGTTTGTGAGGTTCAGCGCCAAGTGCCCACACACCCGTCTGCTGCCAAAGCGGCACACTTGCACATATACATACGTATTCATATATATTTCAAACCATAAGGGGATGGAGGGCAGAAGGCAACTTACCTAAGACAAAAGACTACTCCAGCAAGAAGGCACCGTGTGTGTGTGCGTGTGTGTGTGTGTTGTTAAAGCACCCCAAATTTTCTCTCTCATTTCCTCCACAAATCAGACAAAACATCCATCCATAACAACAAGGTATAGATAGCTAATATAATAGAAAATGCAAGGTTGGCCACGTTTGTGTGGTTCAACGCCAAGTGCCCACACACCTGTCTGCCGCCGAAGTGGCACACTTGCACATATACATACATGCATATATTTATTTAGTCCATAAAAGGGTGGCGGGCAAGCAGCAACTTACATAAAGCCGAGGACTTCACCAGCAAGAAAGCTCCGACCCCATACTCCAAAGATCCGAAGAACCTGGAGAGCCCTTGACGTCGGCCCACACAATAAAGATAAAGGCAAAAGACAACATACCTAACCCAGAAGGCTTCACCAGCAAGAAAGCACCAACCAGAGAGCCCACATAGTCCGAAAAGACTTGGAGAGCCCTCCGAGTCAGCCCACACACAAAGCAGCACCGACACTCTACACTCACGCCACCACCATCTCTATCACTCCATGACTAATACGCCAAATTCCACAAGATCTTCACGCGACACCAGGAGCACTACTGCTTAAAACACACTAGAAGCTACCCCATTCTTCAGTGTGCTCCGAAAAAGAAGTCCATAGGAATGACACCCACAGCAAACACTCTCTGAGCCTCCTCGCGGAGGTATTATGTACAAAACCCCAAATACCCACCCCCCAAAAAGCTCATGGACACCCATAAACATCACTTCATCAACAAAACAGCCCATGCTGCAAAGCAGGGCAAATAATTAGGCCACGTATAAAAGCAAACCCCACAAAACACATCCAACCACAGAGAAAGAATGTGTGTTATATTTTGTATTGCATGGCTTTTGCGACCATGTCGCAGCATGGTGCATCGGAAAGTGTGCTTATAAGCAACACCGGGAAAGAGCCCGGAGCCGGGGATGCCCATAGAAAAGAATGCTTATAATGCCCAGCTTTCAAAAGCCAGGAAACGAAAAAAAGAGAAGAAAAACAAAAACCAACAGACCAGCAGTAAGACAAGTACAACAAGGTAAGCAACATGGCAAGGCTAAGGTCAAGGTGCAACGCGGTACTTAGGTGACATGCTGCAGCAAAGAACAAAGGGTGGATGGCATGGGGTAGGCGGGCGGGCAGGTGGAGGGCATGGGGGAGGGAGGCGTGCTGACAAACAGCACTAGGCAGAAAAATGAGGCGGCAACAACAGGTCAAGAAGTAGCACTAGGCCGGTGAAGCAGCAGCACAGAACGTAGGCTGGAGGGCACGGGGAGGCGGGTGGGCAGAGAAACAACAGTAAGCAAGAAAAGAACGGACAGGAAGTCAAGAAGCAGCACGACAAAAAGACAACAAGGCAGACAAAAGAACGAGTACCAAAAAAACAAAGCGAAAAAAAAATAAAGCATGATAGATTGTTTTGTCAAAGTTGCACTGACTCATCAGGAGGCTGAACCCTCGAACATCTGCAGAATCTCCGTATTTGATGGTTTGGGTCATGAACCTTTTGACCCTTGTTGAAGGTAGACTGTCCCCAGGCGCAACATAGCAGTGGGCAGCAACCCTGTGGAGCACCAAACAGCACAGTAGAGACAACACGGCTGCACAACGCCAAAAACGACTGCAAGAAACGACATGGCACGCAGGACATGCAGCACGGCAACCGTGTTGTGAAGCACAAAACAACACAAACAAGGCAACCACATTGCAAGGGACGACAGGGCGAGCAGACCAGCAACTCGGCAACCATGGAGCGAAGCACAAGGCATGAGCAACAAGGCAGCCATCCAACAAGGCCCGCAAGCAGCAAACACGGAAGGAACGACCAGTGGAAGGGCAGCAAGGCAGCGGACCAGCGAAGCGCATGGCAACACCAACAACACGGCCACATCAACCTGCGAAGAACACATGCGAAGCAAGCAGGACAGGCAGCAGGGCAGTGGCGGCTCGCAGACGAGGACGTCCACACATCCAACACGGAGCAAATCAGCACATGACCTACTCACATCACGATTGAACCCTGCACACTGTTGGTTCCCACCACCCACTGAGCCAGGGAGTCACTCCGGCGACCATCCGCCATCAAGTACAGGCAACACAGACATCCTGAACCGAGCGCCCCCCTGAGAGTGCAGTAGACACTCCAAACGAGGAAGCACCGACTGTTTGGCACTACTTAAGGGTGCTCAGTTGGGCACACAAAAAAATACTTTGAAAAAATCAGGGAGAGGACAGAACAAAAGAAAGACTGACAGACAAAAAAGTTAATAAAACTGATTGTGTGTGTGTGTGTGTGTGTGTGTGTGTGTGTGTGTGTGTGTGTGTGTGTGTGTGTGTGTGTGTGTGTGTGTTTACTTTTCACAACAACAGCACCTATTCCACCCAGATGAACAGATTCACGATCAAAGCATATTTATCCTATTACAGACAACGAAAGCCCTTGAGTTCAGACAACCCAACAATGAAACAGTTTCACCTCAATAGCAAGCAACATGAAGTACAATAGCTGCATGTAAACCTTGTTTCTTGAATATGTTCACAGTTGCTTTCTTCGGGGTACCCCTTTCATTTGTTCCTGCAGCTCCCCTTTTACTGTGTGTGCGTGTGTGCGCGCGCGCAGGGAGAGAGGGAGAGAGAGAGAGAGAGAGAGAG